ATTTCTACCCCCTACTCGTTTCCCGTTCATCCCCCGCACGATTCTTCCTTTTGCACGGTTTGCGAGATCTATTCAATTTACTTTTTCTAGCGCGCATGCAGGGAATCCGCCTCGACAAAGGGAAAAAGAGAAATGTACGCGAGCTGCACGCGCGATGCCGACAGAGAGGGGATTGAATCGCGGGGAGGGAAACTGGAGGACTGGTTGGGGATGGAGTTTCGCTCCGTAAAGCACACGTGGAGAACCGTCGACGGTGCTTAAAGCTCGGGAGGGTCCTTTGAAACTTTACAATTTCATTCTTCCAGACGTGGACGAGCGCGAAGATTCCGCACTGGCCTTCTCTCTACGTCGACCGGATTTTTCTCTTCTTGTCCCTTTTGGAAGCCGGCGACATTCTTTCCCCTTTTTTCTCTCGTCTCAAAGGACATCATACTGCAGTCACGTAACCAGAATCGCTTTACCCCTCGGGCGAGTAACACGCGAAACGTCAACTCACATGTATAAACTCTCTACTACCGGACGGTAAACTAAACATGAATATACTAATTATGATTAGAATAATATAATGAATAATATTAAAAATGGCAATCTCGTGAAAGTTTGGGAACGCAAATGGATCGAGTCCAGGTTCAACGCTGTGTGAACAGTGTTGCGAACCGTACGCGTGCGCGACGAACAGAGCGCTACGGATAGATATATTAGGGCAATTATATCCGACTTAATTACGCGCTGCCTCCGGTCAGGTCCCGTGACTATTTTCGAAACGCTGTCGATGCAAATTAGCGGCGCAACCTCTCATCTTCCGACAGCCAAATCTCATTTTGACCAACATGGTCCATCGTACAACCATATGAAAAATTCATACAATTATACTTATGACATAATTTAACACACACCCCCATCCATAATTCATAAATCTTAAACTGTTTCCAAGTGTTTATCGTTACTTTAATAAATAATTTCAATGAGGTATGATCATTCTTTAAGCTCGTAAATCAGACTTTTTATCAGAATCCATTTAAATCATGTAATTCGTGTATTTCAAGTAATAATTCTGTCGACATCTAATTTCGAAAATAGCAAGGTAATTCGTGTTCGACGTGTACATTCCTGCGGGAACGCAGAGGTATAATAACGTCGTCGTAAATCAAAGTAACTTCAAGAGCCTCGCTTTGTGGCGTTTGTATGAGAACAAGGTTAGGATGGTGCGCGATGAGAAAAGATTTTCTATATATTTTCGCAAGCACTCCAGGTGCGCAGTCAGGGTGGAAATTATTTTCCTTGCTTTTTTGCCTCTTTGGACGAAGGAGAGCTACAAGGGACGTTGATGCGGAGCAAACCGCTGCAGGAGATATATAGGTAATCGCGCGGCCGGATGCAATTGGCACAACGTTTCACGACGCGCACACACGATTCTATCTAGCGAATTTTTTTCACCGCGGCGGTATCGCGCGGTTCCGACATCGCGTCGCAACCAGAGCAGATTAAAAGTTTCGTCGTTTGGCCGGCTTCCGCGCGGGAGCGAGCGAGCGGGCTCTCGCCCGGAGTTTTCGCCGCAATTTTCGGAGCACGCTCGAAGAACGAACAACTCGTATTTCATACTTGAAATACGAGCACGCTGGATGGGAGGGGGTCAGAGGGCGGAAGAATCCAGGAGCGTTAGCCTTAATTAGCGCGTGCATGTGCAGCCAGTTAGCGCCGGGGATAACTGTGATACATTTTTAAACTAATTCTCTCCTGACTCTGAATTGCGTGCGCTTTAGACACGCTGCAGCGCACGTGAAAGTTACGAAATGCTCGGCAAACATCGTGCCGCATTAACCTCCTCGCTGTGTCCCGTAGGTGTTACAAAAATTTGTTCATAACATGCCACGAGCGCTTGTTGACGGGCATCTATGTTTGATCAACTAAACTAAACAGTTCCGTCAAAGGTCTGATTCTAAAAATAATATAAATAAATTTTATCAAAACCGATCGATTCTGGCAAATAAACTTTGAAAACCTTGTCATGATCTGTGGTCGAAAAAAATGAAAAAACAAAAAAATGTCGGATAGAGTTGAGTATCGGTGTCAAAAAATGTCGGTGGCCGTAAATACGTGTCGAAGAGTGACGGTATCGAGGTTGAAAATCGCTATCTAAATGCAGCCGACCGACACCGATTGATGTTACATCGACACAGATAATAGTGTCCAAACAATGTCGTTCGCGTCAAATGCAGCCGAGGCGAGGGCGACGTTAAAACTTGTTTGTTGTCGCGAAGCTCGCGCTATTCGCTCGCTCGTTAATGAGACAATTTCATTCTACGCGCAAATTCACGTGCAAACGACTACCACAACCCATGGCATCCGGTACACACGTCGGCTAACTGATCGAAAATCACCTTCTATGGTAAATATTGCTGTCTGTCCAATTTACGGATTGCTTAATTATGAATATCACTGATTAAATGATCTATTGAGGAACTTCTTAGCATATTCCATGCATCAGATCAACATGTACATGGAGTGCGACTAATTCGACTGATTTCTTTAATTTTCTATATGGTTTCACTTCCACAATAGAATCTCTGCAAGTATTGACTTTATAAAGCACGTCCCGCGAAGACTGCCAGCTTATTTAGAGAAAAGAAAATTTGTCTTCCATAGGAAGAAGGGTGTATACGATCAAAGATCGACGATTAAACAAATGGATGCCCGTTGTGACATTTTTCAACCGCATATACTCGTCACGATTTGAAATTCTCGTCGCGCGAAAGGTGATTTCGGCGTGGCGTATCGCGATATTGAAATCAAAAAGACGCGAAGATTTCGGAATACAAACTAGCGCGGGATTCGTTTTACATGGCGCGACTCATAAGCTTTTTTCACATTGGGGAAGTTTTAGCAACGCGACGGTTGGACTCTCTTCCATTGAATCCCGACGCACGAAGTCACAGGACCAAAAGCGAATTCGAACACGGTTCGAATCGATACAGGTCGCGATTCAGACCCGACCCTCGCACAAACTTTCCGCCACCTCTTCTTCTTTACACCCCATCCCCGTTGTTGTTAACCCTGTCTTCTAGCGCGTCGGAGAACTTTCGCATTCCACAAGATTGCTATGTCTCTCGCCGCAGACCGCCCACGGAAAGCCGAGATCAAAGTTTTTACGTTTCCGCCTTCGAAAAACAGGGGAAAACAACAGGCAGAGAGCCAGGTTCAATTAACTCGCAGGAATCCGAAGGTTGCGTCCATTTTAGGTAAAATTGTTAGAGAGAAAGACAGAGAGAGAGGGAGAGAGAGAGAGAGCAAACCCTCTTTCCACGCGTTTATTTCGTGAATACTTTAATAGGCAAAAACTACTTCCAGTTGGCTCTCTGACTTCCGTTCGAGTAACGCGTTCCAACTTGTATCGGATTTCGAACAAAAGCGATTCGGTAACTCGGGCAATGAACAAAAAATAGAAATTTCAACGCGAACTTCCTTCGTTTCCGTCTCGATGAAGGAAAAAAGAAGCGCATTCGCGGCGAAATGTCTTCGGCTCGTTAGAGACTTAACGAGAAGAAACGCGTCGGATGGGCGTGGGATTGGAAACAAGGACGAGATCGAAAAACCGGTGGAGAACAAAACTGGCCGTGGTACTGGCCGAGCTGCTCGAGAGCTTTTTGAAGTTCGAGCTCGCTCTGGGCTAATAGTGGACCAAATGGTCGAGTACTAATCCGACTGTAATAATGGTGTACGCGCGCTCATCGTGTGAACGCGCTGCTCTCCATCCGCTATTACACCGCTCGGACCTCGTCTAGCCGCTTTCAAACTCGTTATACGATTTTTAATACCATCGCACACGAATAGTCTAGTGCACTGGTCTCCCTCTGTCCTTGTTTCGCTTTACATACTTGTTCATAAGTCTCAGGACATATTGCGAAACGCGTAATCGAACTAGACGTTCCAAGAATATTATCTGACAAATGAAAAATTGTACTACTTTAATGAGCAATCGAAGAAAAATCACTTACGTAAATGTTTAGTGGTTTCATTTTTCATTAGAATTATTACATGAATTGAGGAGTTTTCAATTCAACGTTTGGCGTAGGTAATGCCTATGCGATTCCACGCGTGGAAAGTCTGGGAAAACTCGGTTGTGTACATTGCGAGAACATTTCCGCGGCAGATGCGCCGCGAAATGATTAATCGGCGTTTCGCGTCGCGCCGACAAGATAGTCCGTACATATCTACAGAGTTCGGTTCATAACGCATTACAGTTTGAACAAGGGCAAACGACAGTGAGGAATTACGGTATGGGATGGGGTTACGCGTTCCCTGAGAAATTTATACCAGACTCTTGATGGATCTGTTCGTATAGAAGAATGGAAAGATTCATTCAGAATCCACTAATAACGTAAAAGTTCCTAGTAAAGCTTATACTTTGGCACCGATCGACGTTGATGAAATTTTTATCTATTCTTATGAGACGGTCGCGAAATTGATAGGTGAGAAAGGTTCATAATAAAAATTGCTGTCACGAAGCTTGTCATTGTGTGACGTCAAAGCTATAAAAGGGTAAAAAGGTAGAGCGAGTAAGTGGAGGAAGAAAGGGGAGCAGGAAGGGCTAGAAAAAAGGGGAGCGTGGTTTAAGCTGTTCATAAATCTAGTCGTTTCTCGCGTCCGCGGGTTTCCTCCTTAGCAGCCGTTCTCAATTTGCATACCAAAGACTAATCCGCGGCCACTGCGCTGCGCCGAGGCCGATTGAAATGAAAATGCACGCGGCCTCCCCTAGCGAATATCATTCTCGCGCGCGGCGGACAAAGCTTTAAGCGCGATTTATTCGTACGAACGTAAACGAAAAGGCAAAGCCTGGTTTACCTGCGCGAATGCCGATGCTGAAAAGAACGGAAAGAAGAAAAGAAAGTAGATTCTTTCATTCCATCAAAGGAACGCGGATCGCGATATACCGCGCAGTTTATGCGCGCTTTGTTTTCAAAGTTTGTAAATACGTTTCCGTATCTCTGATTTTGTTACAGCGACGGCAGCGTGGCCGAGGCAGGAGCAGCCGTGCCCGATAGCCGGAGATTTCTGCATGAACGGTGGTACCTGTCTGTTTTTCGAGACCGTCGGTGAACCAGCATGCAGGTGAGTGTCTATTTTCTTATCCCAATGATCGACTTATTATTAAGTATTTACAGTTTGCTGATACGAGATTAGTAATATTCTTCGAACTGTCCTCAGTGATAAAACAAGTCACGTTCAAATAGCTAGAATGTTACGATCCCTGCTGATATTGAAACAAACGATTGCTAGGGTGCTTTTCGCACGTGTTTTCCTTTTCCACCAGTCCTGGTCGAAATTGAGTTTCGCTTCTTGTTAGCCTCTTTTCGACCAACACCTGGCCGGCCGAGATTGGAAGGGATTCGACGAAGAGTTCCGCGGTATGTTTGTTGCCGATTTCATGGTGCCTCAGTTCAGACACGTTCAGTCTACTGACCTCTCGACCACCACTCGTGCCGCTTCCTTTTCTCCGTTCCATTTGCACTTGAATCGCGATCGAACCGTTTCATTCTGTTCCTGCCAGCCCAACCCATACGTCTCCTTTTCGCTATCCATTAAACAGAACACCTTACTCTCCTCGTATCTCTCTTATTCTATTCCCCGCAGCGTTCCTGGCCCTGTCATTTCGTTCCTTTTTATTTATCGACCTCCTCTACCTCCTTTCCTCTCTCGGGATCCAGAGAAAGGGAATTGTTTGAAAAAAGAAGAGCCGTCTCGCCAGAGGCTCTCGCTAATCAAACTGTTTGTACGTGTTAAGCATCCAAGCGGTTAACCGCGTCTGCAATTTCAGTTATTTATTGCTTAGACCGCATATTCCGGACGTTTCTTCCGTCTTTCCGTTCACGTTCAAATTCCTGGAGCTTGCCGGAATACCCTATCGGTCTTTCGAGAGCGATTCAATTGTCGATTCGAACGAAAGGAGAGTGGAAAGCTTCGTTCAGCCCGGGGGCGCGAACGTGAAAAGCAGGGAGGCAAAACACGGTCGAATCAGTTTTCATGAAAAATTTCTTTCGGCTTTTATGTCTGGGCTCGCGTGCATTTTACTCCCACCCGACGTTCAAAGTTTGTACGCGGCCCGCCCGAAATTATTCCACGCTCTCTTCTTGACCCCGGTTTTATCGGTTCTTTCGAAAATTAAATTATCCGAACGGTTCTCCCATTCTGTCCGATCCACTTGATCGATCGGTCGGGTTTAATTAAAAAAGTTCCGCTACGGATGATCGGCAATGGTGTTCCGAGAAATTAGCAGCTCGATCAATCGCGTGCGTGCCCTCTCGTCCTGCCGAATTACTTTCATCCGTGTTAAAAATCACAAAGAGTAGTAGAGCCTGGCGCAGTTTAAAGAAGTTGGCCAATATCAAAGCAAACACTTGGGGAACAAGTATTTTCCTGGCACACACACTCGACTCGTTAATTTCAATTGCAGACTCGAATGAAACCCAAGGCGAGTCTATAACGCGTCGCTATTAGCGAGCCAACATTTCTTTTTATCCAGCGTCACGGAAATTTTCACAGATTTCCCGAGACAGCTAAACGTGACAAGGGAAAAAGAACAACGCCCGACGACAATGGCCTTTTTGTCGGTTACGCTTTGACGTTGATTAGCTGCTCGTTAAATAAATTCGTAGGGTTGATCCGTGAATAAAAGTGACCCTTCTCGGGTAAGCGGATGTTTCGTGTGGAAAGGGGTGGAGAGTCAAAAGGGAAACACTGTGGTCTATGGACGTCTGGCTTCTTTTTCCGGACGAGGGTTTATTGGCTTTATAGAGGAATCAGGTCGTCCCGAAGGAACACAAGCCCCGAGGAAGAACAAAAGAAACAACCGATGGAAAGAGTGGACAATGGACTAATGAGTGTATGCCCGAGCATTGTCCACCCGCATGAGGCTAGCCAGGTTTTACCTGTTTTTCGAACGAAAGTGGATACACGTTATGTCTGTAATTTGAATTTCGACTAAATTGATTGCAGAGACTATTTGAATATATATATATACACAATATCTAAAACGAGACTCCTACAGGTGCCGATAGTATTTATGGAACGAAATAGATTCTAATTATTTTAATTAAACATCATTTACACTAATGAAAATACAGTCTTGAATAATAAAATCAGTACCGTCTGTCGCCATAACAATTATGCTTCCCAAGAGTGAAGACCGAATAATTCCTACTTATACAATCATTATTCTATGAATAGTATTACAATCTAATAATAAGCAGACAGTTGACCCAAAAGCGTCAGAGAAGACTTTTGAATGCTCGATGCAAGTTCGCGGTGCTAAAAAAATTTGGCCCTTCTTTTCCTTTTGTACGCTCATAGTAAATCACGAGTCGTATCTCGGGAATCCGCGATTTATGGATTTCCAGCGAGGCTCGTCTCTTCGCGGAATAAATTTTCTACTCGCGATAAACTTGCTATAACCTCGGCACGAAATCGCTTGGGAAAGGTGACGCGCGGCAAGAGTACGAGAGGCGAGGTTGTGTTGTCCTAAAAACCGATCCCTGGATCGTGTCTGGATCGACGATCGAGTCCGGAATAAACGAGCAAGGTGGGGTCGATGACCCAGCTTAAAAAGGGTCGTATCCGCAAAATTCGACGCGAATCGGTGTCGCGGATCGTGCATCGAGTTTATCGCAGCTGAGTCCCATTCCAATCTCTCCTTCTCTCTCTCTCGCGAGTCTCGCGGCGTTTCGCCAAAATACACAGCAAACGCAAAAGCTTTCGCGATCAGTAGTAGAGGACGTTCGCTCGTAAATCTCGCTGCTGCTCCGAGACACTTCATCCCCGTATCCTACGATCCATCCAATTCCCGACTGCCACCTGTGCAACCTGTGCGACTTCAGACGCGATTTGCCAGCCGGGCTAACTCGGATATTTCGAATATCAAAAGATTCGGATGCCGAGTTTCCTCCAATTCGAAATCGTGAAAGGCAAAGTTTGTTAGAGAGAAGCGTCGCTAATATATACATAGAATTTGATCAGGTCCGCGAACTACTGCAAATACGAACCCCCCCGTTCGTGAAAATTGTTTATATTCTTTTACTTTAAGTACGATTTATTACACGGTTATGTACATGATTTATTACAATACCTAAATTAAGAATTTGGAATATTTATCACCATTTTCAAGACAACAAGCATTTGTCCTAAGACTTGTGAACACAGGGGTGTGTGGAAAGTGTCGAAGCGAGGGTAATTCGACAGAGTCGAGAGAAGCTGACGATAACGGCGTTCGCAGCAGATAAGACAGGACAAGAAGGGCGGGATATTAAAGCGGAACGAGCAGGCCGTTTCCCCGTGTCTGGCCAGGAGAGGACTGGCAGCAGCCCCGGAAGGAAGGAAGGAAGGAAGGACGCGAGAGGAAGGAGAAGCTAGAAGAGGTCCCGTGAAAAGGAAAGAATAAAGCACCCTCTAATATCCAGTGCTTCGCGCTGCTGCCGACCTCTCCAGTTCGCGTTTTTTTTTTCTTCCCTCTCCCGCCCCGTGAAGCTGTTTCCGCATAACCCTGGCCCATATACGCGAACTACATAGCGCTAGCACGGCCGGTGCACAAAAGCTGCTGGCACAAAGCAAACCGACAACGCAGCTGGCGCCGTCCGCGCGAAAACGACTCTCTATTCGACCCGACACTCTCCCGGATACGAAACTTCTTCCCCCTCTTTTAGATACGTACTCATTATTTTAACGGAGGACGTGCCGCGCCTTTTGTGCAAAAATGTTACACTCCAGGCGAAACTAGGTCCTCGATACCGAGGTCTCGCATACATTTGGAGTCGATTGTTCCATCGGACGCGGTGCTAAAAGGTTCTGAAAATTATTTCAACTGAAATTTTCTCGCAGATTGAAATAATGAGTGGGTGACGGATCTTGAATCTCAAGGATCTAACTACCCGGTTTTTGTACGCGTCTCTCATTTACTCTCTGACTGAAATGAGAGCTTTCTACATAATAACCACTTGGAACCACTTGCTTGCGTAGCTCGAGATAAAAATTAACTATCCTATGTACCGTATTCTAAACTTCGCCGAGGGGAATGTACCGTTTCACATGAATATTTATACAGATTTTTACTTTTATTCTAACTCGCGAGGAGATTCTGCTCATTTGTTTCTGTCGCTGGCAAGAAAGTCCTAAATCACCGTAAACGAAGTTAATGCTATTAGAGTGGATTGCATCCGATGATGAAGCGACACCGCACGTTGCTATTCACGGATTCCAAGGTGAGAAAAAGCAAACGTCGACGCGACCGATTTGTCTAGCTGCTGCTGCTGGCATTGTACGAAACGGGACAAAAGGGGTACGAAACTGAAGGCTAAAAGCAGCGCCGGACTAGAAGGTTAAAATAATGGACGGACACGCGCGCGAGGGCGTATAAAGCATGCATTTTCGGCGTTTTACTTGGCCCATATTTTTCACGCGTGCAAGCTTCGAGAGAATAAAAAAAAAAACAAGAGAGGACAGTGAGTAGGTGATGCTGCATTTAATACGACGCTGTTGCTTTGCATGACGTTAACAGGGCGGTTTATAACGCGTCTCTTGTCGTCCCCCGTGTTTATCCAGGAAAAACATAACGCGTCTCTTTAGATGAGACGTTATACAAAAAAATTGTTTCTGTTAGGAAGTAAATAACAAAAATTAATGATGAAAAATAAAAGGCGAACTACCTTTGCGAACACCTTGAGGTAACTTGAAAATCTCGCTTGACGTAACGAGAGAAAAATGGCATACCTATACATTTAAATTGAAGTTTTCGTTTGAATTTCATGTAAGCGTTAAATCGAAACCGATGGTCGCGGCTTTGCCGATGCTGCCGGCTCTCGCTCGCTGTTACGTTTCCCTTTGCCGCGGGATTCCGTTCGCGTTCGTTGAAAAGGTTCGTTAATAAAGACGATGAAAATTACGGGACGAAGCGCACCTTTGCTAACTAAAAGGGAAAATAAACTCTCGAAGAAGATTACGTTTACGCGGTAAAAGAAGGAAGATGTGAGCCAACGTATCAGCATTCATCTCCTCGATGTTTAATTCTTTTTAATCCACGAGCCAGTAATAATCACAGCAATATCTCGCATATGAGGCAGCAA